TCCGGCGCTGGGGAGGCAAGAGCTAGCCACGTGAATTGGCGTTGCTGCCCGCTTGTGGAAAACAAGAGGTGGGTGAGCCGGTTAAAATTGATTCCTTTGAGCCGTCTTGGACAAAAAAGCTGTAAGCAGTGGGCAGTGGAAGAGATGGACAAGCACAGGATTTCCAGTTAACTGTATATAACATCCTCACCTGCCTAGATATATTCCCCAGTAGGAGTCTCTAATTAGTAAAGCCAAAATATTCCTAGCAATTACTAATCTAAACTTTGTCTGAAATGTGCCAAACTGACAGTCGTCTCCCTTTGGGACTGACGGGATGTTCCTGCCCATCCAGAGGAAACTGCAGAAATCCTGCTGCACGGGTAGGAGCAGAGGGCAGGAAGGTCACAGTGCTCTTTGCTTGCTGGAAGGAGCAGCCCGTGGGGGAGGAGGAGATGGTCCCTTCACACTTGAAATGCTTGGGAACTAGATCCATGCCATTTCATGCCCTCTTTGGCTATTTCCTGCTGTGGAGGCAAGTAGTGTTTAAAAACTGTCCTGGACAGGGTTACCACAGTCCAGATCTGCAGAGCAGCAGAAGTGCGTGTGTGTGTGTAACTCCCTAAGATCCCCAGCTCATTTTGCTTGCTGTCCTGGGGCAGGATTCCTGCCTTGCATGCTGACACACCCAGTTTATTATTGTTGTTACCTTGTAGAAGATGGACCAGATTCAAGTAGTTTGCTTCTGCCTCCTCACTGGTGACTAAAGCTGCGCTCCCGTTTTAAGCTCTGCTCTCATTATCCCTCCAGTAGTTATTGCTGTCAGAACTCGATTAGCTGAAGGGAATCGTGGTGGGAGTCTCTTCCTGCTGCACGGATGCTGGGTATTTGGACTGCATCAAAGCAGGGCTCCCACCGTGGTGGGGAAGGGCAGGGAGCCTGGGGTATCCTGAGGGTGTGGTAAGGAGCTTCTGGCACATGCAATGGTGAGGCAGCAGCCTGGTGTGAACGGGCTTGTTTCTACAAGAACACCGTTCTAAACTAGGGTGGTAAGTGACTTTCAAGCTGTGTGGCAGTTCCAGAATAAGTTTCAACATGGGAACTTGTTTCAGAGGATCTGAGGTTAGTTTATATGCAGTAGTTCTGGCTGCTTTTCCAGTACAGACACGCTGTAATTCTTGGCTAGTAGTTCTCACAGATGGGTTGCTGCGATGTCCCACAGTGAACGTTGGCTCAGCCTGCTGTCTTGGCTTAGCCACCTGGACCAAACATCAGCAATGGTGCACTTTGGGAGTACTCTGACCTCAGGAGAGAATATAGTGCACCTGCTTAATAAGGACAGTTCACGCTATCTAGATAGCGATCTTGAAAAGGGTGTTGCATTAGACTGTACATGGGAGTTATGGCTCTGCTTTCTTTGCTGCAGCATGAAATTTGGGTGAGTTTGCCTACATGCAACCTTGACCTCAAAGGCAGTGTTTACCACTGGCTTCTTGAAGAAGTTTGCAGACTCACCTGCAGATAGTTAGCAGAAGCAATTTGTCTTCCTCCATGCCTGTGGTGTGGCAGTAAGGGTGTCCCTGCAGCGCTGCTCTCTGGCAGAGGTGTTCTGTTCGGGCATTATAATGCAGTGAAGCTCTGCAGAGTTATCTACTTTCTGTCTGAAAGTCCAAAGCTGTGTGTTGCTCTTGGTGGAGGCATCTTCCTCCATGCTTGCCACACATCCAGTGTCCTGGCTTGAAACAGCTGTTGCTGGAGAGTGTGGCACTTCAGCACTTTCCTTCCCTGAAGAGCTGCACAACTCTGTTCTCAGAGGGCTGTCGGAGCTTCTCCTGGAGCAGCTTGCACACATCGAGGCTTGGCTTGGCTGATAACTGTGTATGTTGTAGATAGCTTTGGTGGTCCTGTGTGTGTTCATCTGCTAGAGAAGTTTCTTGGCTTTTGCAGGAGTCTGCAGTTACAACGTGTAGGACAGGTACTCTGGGCTAATAGTCTGCGTCCAGATGGGTTTTGAATATCTCCACGGAAGGAGACTCCACAACCTCTCTGGGCAACCTGTGCCAGTGCTCTGTCACCCTCACAGGGACCCCCCTGAGCCTTCTCTTCTCCAGGCTGGACAGGCCCAGCTCTCTCAGCCTTTCTTCAGAGGAGAGATGCTCCAGTCCCCTCATCTTCTTTGTAGCCCTCCGCTGGACTCTCTCCAGTAGTGCCATGTCTCTCTTGGACTGGGGAGCCCAGAACTGGACCCAGCACTCCAGGTGAGGCCTCCCCAGGGCTGAGGAGAGGGGCAGGATCACCTCCCTCGACCTGCTGGCAACACTCTGCCTAATGCACCCCAGGATACCATGGGCCTTCTTGGCCACAAGGGCACACTGCTGGCTCATGGTCAACTTGTTGTCCACCAGCACTCCCAGGTCCTTCTCTGCGGAGCTGCTTTCCAGCAGGTCAACCCCCAGCCTGCACTGGTGCCTGGGGTTATTCCTTGCCAGGTGCAGGACCCTGCACTTGCCTTTGCTGAATTTAATGAGGTTCCTCTCCGCCCAGCTCTCCAGCCTGTCCAGATCCTTCTGAATGGCAGCACAGCCCTCTGGGGTATCAGCCACTCCCCCCAGTTTAGTATCATCAGCAAACTTGCTGAAGGTGCACTCTGTCCCTTCCTCCAGGTCATTGATGAATACATTGAACAAGACTGGACCCAGTGCTGACCCCTGGGGGACACTGCTAGCTACAGGCCTCCAGCTAGACTGTGACACTGACCACAACCCTCTGAGCTCGGCCATCCAGCCAGTTCTCAATCCACCTCACTGTCCACTCATCCAAGCCGCGCTTTCTGAGTTTATGTATGAGGATGTGGTTTTCTAATTTAGGTTTTGTATATTAATAATCATATCAAAAGGCTTGCCGCACCAGTGTTTCTTTGCAACTTGTTTGCAGTTGTATTTATTGTTATAACTCTGGATTGCACAGTTCTGTGGGGTTTTCTTCTTGTCATATCTCTGTGCACAAGAATCTCTGCTCTTGCAGCTTAAGCAAAAGAGAGCCACTAGTCATCATGATCATAGAAAATGTTGCAGGTGAGGCTTAGGCTGAGCAGAATCGGGGGAGGAGGTGAAAGAGCTGCTCCTGTCCCCCACTGTGGGCGAGTCCAGCTGAACAGTTAGGAGGGATGATGAATGTCTGCGTTTCAGGCTTAGCTTCCTAACTAAGATAATGGTCTGTGCTTTGGAGAGAGCTTTGCTCTGAGGTTA